GTTTTACTCAATTTCACACATTTATTTCGCATATGCGTAGGAATTCTATATGAAAACCAAATGTGGCTTACCAGGCGCACAGAAAAAATAGCGCGGCGCAGAGTTATGAACGAGCGCACTTTGCTTTGAAGCAGACGCACGTTCCTTATGAATGAATTTGTTGTCGTTGTAATATGAAATACTTAGAAAATAAGCCGCGAGTTTGCTTGAATATTATTGGCCGATGATGGTGCGTCTACGTTTTTTTGTCACTTGCGCGAATATTTGATTTTTTGCGAAAGACATATTGAGGGACATACATATGTACATATGTGTACATATATGCAAATATATTTGGACATGCGAATGAAAGAAGGCAATTTCAAGAATATTCACATATGGACATATGAACATTTGAAGCAAGTAAACAATAATAGCTGTTTGAATTCACAGATTAGACTCAAGAGCTTAAATATTGTCTGTGGTGCTACTTGTATAGCAGACTTCTTTATTGCAATGTGAAATATTTTGCCTAAGTTCAAATCCTATCAGATATTTTTTTATACTCTTTTTTTATTTTTATATTCCTTTTTTATTAAATGATATTTTAATTCTATTTTCATATTATTTCCCTCATTATTTATATTTTCTTGTCGGAAGTCAATTACTTTCATTTTTATTATTTCAATTTTTGTTTATGCGCATATCAAAGAACATCTGCGCATATGTATGTATATACATTTTGCTTATAGAGTGGTGTAGTTCGTTGCGTAAATTGACAGCTGTGGTGACATTTTATTTTCCAATTTGCGCGTTTTCGATGTTCCTCCATCGTAATTAACATTTTAGTACTGCTAACATTTGCTCCTTCTCTATTCATTTACGTTCTCTGATAAAACTGTCGGAAAAGCTTTTTTAGTACGAAATGTCATCTTTCTGACGCCATCTAGCGGAACCCGATCGGATTTATACAACGCGAGATGCAGATGAATAATGCCATCTTTTAGAAAAATAATGGATTTCTTTTTACTACACTTAATATTTGTAAATAGCACAAATTTAGGGGAACTCCTTTTTTGTATCCACAAAAAGTTTACAAGCAATGCGAATAACTGATGATGACTGCAATTAAAATTATGTATTATGATTATTAATGTAATTTATTCTTACATTAAAACTTGATTAACCGATTATTCTTTAGTTTTACATAACCCTGATTTTTCACTAATTTTAATAGGGTTTAAAAATAAGGAACCAACCGTCATCATCTTTTTTACACGGTTTTTTTCTGGAACCAGTCTACCGTGCACGAACAGATTTAGGTGAATGGTATAAAGCCAATCGGAAGTTCGAATTTCTTATTTAAGGTATACGGGGGCTTGGGGCTTATTACGACATATCATTATCAGAAATGAAGATAGACCAATATATAAGGTACAAAGTCAAGCGGATGTTTGAAAATTCTTATATGAGGGCCAAGGGAAGGGTTGTTCGGATCCATTCATTGTAGGCACAGGGATATAGAAGTACGTTATAAGAAAGAAATTCTATGTGAATTCCATTAGGATATCGTACCTATTGAATGATTTATCTGGTATAAGTTCACCGAAAGTATTTATATCAGGTATATGAACGGTAGGGAAGGTATTCTACTCGATAATTTCGGTCAAAAATCAGCCATATGCACTGGGGTTCACTTACTCGGTCTCTAGTGCCATGAAAATTTATTAAATAGTAAATTATATGCCAGCGTTTTTCCCAATCCTAAAAGCACTCAAAGAAGTAATTTTTGTGATCTTGTTCAGCTCCTCCTTCGATGCAGTTTTTATGTCCTCAATCGTAACGTAGCGTCGTCCTTTCATGGGCCTCTTCAGTTTTAGGAACAAAAAAAGTCACAGCCAGGTCTGGGAAATACGGAAGTTACGTATTATTGCGTTGTTTTGGCCAAATACGAGGTTTGTTCAAAAAGTATCGCATTTTCGGGGGCTACGTGCGTCTACTTACCTAATAGCGTAAGTGCACTTTCTTAAGAAATACAAAATACGTAACTCTATACATATCTCGATTAGTTTTACACAAAACAACCGTTAGGTGAACAAAACTATTATATTTACTTTGTATCCACATGTTGCGAGAATATAATAATGTATAGGGCAATTAAGGAAAAAGTTAAGCAGAAGTTCGGAAGCCATCGTAGCACCAAGTTTTTTTTATCATAGCATTATACCGAATTATTTATTTTCACAAATTAACCTACTGCTTCTGTATAAAGCTAGCCATAGAAAACCAGGTCTCTTTATTGGTATCTAGGTGCTAGACAAAAGGTATAGCTCGTTTTCTATTATTGGCACTTGCCACATATTATTGGCACTATACGGTATGTAGTAAATTTTAATATGAAGGTTCATTGATGCTTGATTTATCTATTGAATAGTGAATGAATTTGATTTAATTTAAAATGGTGTCAGATGAGAATTATTCGCACGGATTAAACTTCATGCTTCTGACGTTTTTCCTTAGAGAATAACCGCGCCTTTAGTTGTTTCGAAAATAACTTTTGCATTTCAAGTGAGCTAGGTGTTATGCAATGTCACCCATTTTTTCAATATATGTACTATTTAAAAAAGATATGTTTTTATTATGTTTAATTGATAGAGCTTTAAGAGTTTAAGATATAGGTGGACTAACCACTGTTTTAGGTCCTCCTTTCCTAATCGATAGCGATTTACTTTCTGACTTGATAGAAAGTTTAGAAATGGCGATTGGCATTTTATTTCCCTTAGACTGTTAAGAGTACGTACGAATATACGGTAATTACGTATGTATATTTGAAAGCCATTTTTCCTCTTCATTAACCTCGAGATACAATCCGACTTGTTTTGCTTTAGTTTAGTTATACATTTTAGATAGCTTTCTAAATGTTTTAATAAATTATATTACCACTGATTACTCGTATATGGATCTTATACATAAACATGGTTTGCAATTCGAATTATACTTGTAGGTATTTCTAAATCTTACGATACGATTTGTATTTTGTTATATAACCTTAACCCTTGGTTAGTTGCCTAAAAATGTTCACATGTGAACTCCTTTTAAACTGTAAAGTACTAAATTTAAGTACCTCATTAAGCAGTCAATATATCTGTGCAAGCATTTATACAAGTATGTATGTACGTTCGTAATTATGTAATGCACCTTATGTCAGTGAAATTATGCGATGACTCTAGTTGACCCGTCAAGCCGCAACATTCAATAAATTCCTCGGCGGCTTCGATAAGATTATTTAGCAATGACTTTTGTCTGATCCCTGTTGTGTGCTTTCTCTACATATATATACATACAAACATGGCACGTACATGCATATACATACATACAAATCAATAGTTTGTAGTATAGTTTGTCTTGGATTTTAATGATCTCCTGGCTCTGGCATGTTCACTGAGCGCTTTTGTTTGAATGTGTGTATGTATGTATCGGTGCACCTTAAGTACCCAATATTTAGACGCATTTTCAATAATTGACAAGTGTAAGTATATATGAATGATTGTAATTAAACAGGTACAGACATTTGCATTTGGGCACAGACATTTATATTTACTTGCAGATAGCACATAGTTCTGAAGTATTAAATGCAGCGACTTATTACCATTAAATTTGGTTTTGATTGACGGTTTTACGATAGCGCAATGATACGGCAATTGACGCTTCAAACACATATTGAGTCATTTCCTGCATATTGAACACACTCAAACATGTTAATTGCCATCCGAATTTAATCAAGAAAAGCAATGACTATATTAAGGTGATTCATGCCAACTTTACTGCGAAGAACGACCTTGATGCATTTGGAAAAAATTCTTTGTTCTAGTATTCTTAAATGATTAATTTATCCGTTCCTATCAAAAAGTTTTTGAAAGACGCTCATATAAAGTGTTGTTTCATTATAGATTAGTCATTAGTACTGAAAAAAATGGAGATTCATTCAGAAAGCAAAATACTGCTCTTAGTTGGTCACAATTAATACTTTTCGATATCAGATATGTCTGGCACAAACCTTTAAAATGATAGGCTAAGTATTTATATCTGAAAAATTCTTCATTCATGTTATAAATGGCTACAATTTTCACATTTACAGAAGTTGTCAAAATTATCTTTGATGATTTACAGTACTTTAGCCTAAATTAAAATAATTAAAAAACAGCAGCCATAAATCGAACTTACTATAAGAGTTTATGGGATATGCATCTTAACTCTTAGAGATAATGGATCCGTGTCCACTTTTCATAAAGTACATATGTATCGTGTGGTGAGCGGTTTCTACAATATTGATCAAATTATAATTTCTCGTATCAGGTTTGGTACAGATTACTGAATGTTATCAATATTTAGCCTTTCTCAGTTGCATTACTGCCAAACCCCAGATCCAAAGAAAAATGTTAAGTTGCTCTTTAATATTGCATATTATTTAAAAAACTAACCAGCAATACAGGAAATTGACCTATAATATTTTCATATAAGTCAACTTTGTGTAAAAGGGAGTGTATTCAACTGAAACTAAAGCTAAGAATCCCTCGGTCACAGGATGTGCTGGATTGTGATGTAGTAATATCAGTATAAGGCCAACAATACTGCTTTTTGAACGAAACTCAATAATAAACGCCAAGCAAATTTATTACGATGGATTCATAGAATAGAATGATAATTAGGGTAATAATTAATATTGAAAACATAGTGACGTATTATAGCGACAGCCCCTGCTTTCGAAAAGAGGCGTTCATGGAATCTAGAGAGAAAAAATTAAGTTCATTTTATCCCATGACTCAACCGTGTCTCTCCTATAATAAATTTACCACAAAAACCACATAAACACTACTTAGCCTTCCCATAAATTCTATTACTAAGTTTGTAGCTTGCAGCGAGGACAAAAAATACCGAAACGTATTTTAAATATAAATTTCTTGATCCCATATCACATTAGTAAATGTAAAAAAAATGTACTTTTTTATAACACTTCAGCTCTCAGAGCAGTTTATATAGTAACCTGAAAAATGTCATATGAAACTTTATTAATATTTTTGTGTTTTCCGTTATTGTTCATGTTTTGTTTTATTAATAAATCCTTGGATTTTTATAGTGTAAAAATCTTCTTAATTTAAACCAGCGACAAGTAAGCAGATTTCAAGGGGAAAAACTATCGATAGTATTCTTTTGAACTATCGAAACTATCGAGTGGTCTGACTATCGATAGCTTTGCAGCTTTAATATTATGGTAAGCCGCCGGTAGATTCTAACATGTCTATAAGGAACGTGAGTGGTAATTGGGCTCGAAGTGAATAGGAAAAGGCAAATCACCTAGAAAAGCTATTTTAGCCTAACTGCCCAAAAAACGATTTTGAGCTGCTAATTTTGCCCGACACCGCTAACGAGTCTTTATTAAGACTTCAAATCAAAAAGAGAGGAATCCAAAAACGGATATGATAAAATTACTCCAAAAATGCTAATGGCGCTACCAAATATTGCTATGGTAGTACTTTCCTCGCTCTTAATTGCAATTTTTAGTTTCGGATATTATCCAAATTCATTTAAGAACTCGCAGATCATCATGATAGATAAACACGGAAAATAAAATATTCGAAAAAGTATTACTATCAACGATTCCTCCATGAAAATAATATTTATAATTCTAACACACCAACTCAAGTTTCGTGCAAAACATGGCGCAAGTAAATAAAAAGCATTCGAGCTCAGAGAGTACCATTCAACAATATACCTTGCTGTAGCCCAGACATTCGGTAAGATATGCCACTTTTATATAAAATTAAAACAATATTCAGCTTGGAATTGCATAAAATATTGGAGTCTTATTTGAAGTAGCTGATTTCATATCTGATCATCAACTAATAAGGCAAAATTCTATCAATCTAAATGAACAAAAGTGAAAGTATAATATGTTACATTTTCACTAAGACCAAAAATATGTCAGCCTATTAAAATGAATAATACCACTAGCAAATGTTGTAAATTATCTTGGCATTCTCTTGGACAGAAGAAACCTCCCAGTAAGGTATCCTCCAATTTTACTAGCATAAAATAAGAGCAGCAAATTTAAACGGGCCTTTAAATAAAAATTCAAAACTTAGCCTTGACAACAAAGTTCTGCTATGCAATGCGGTAATAAAGCCGATTTGGATGTATGGTATTCAACTGAGGGGTACGACCTGTGAAACTAACATTGACATAATACGTTGCCTTTTATATTTCAGGATAAAAAAACAAAAACAAATTTTAATCATCGAAATTCGCCTTATTGTTTTTCTAAATACCTTCTTCGGCGATTGGGTTTCCTGATTGCTTGAAAAACAACTGCCAAACAAATGGTGTATATTACCACTCAGAATTTACTGTTCTGTGTTGTTCTAGTGGTATGGTTGCGACATGTCCAGTTTTTCCGAAAAAAAAAATAGGCAACCAATGGCTTGGAAGTGTTTCGTGCGTGAACAACTGTTGGATTCCGCTCATCTTGAACTATCCAATTAACCATACAGTTGACTCCTTTTTACTTTCGGGCCACGATTCATCACCTGTTACGATTTCATAGACGTGTTTCGAAGCAAAGCTATTGTATTTTTTTTAACATTTCTCTCGACCAATCGACACGAGCTTTTTTTGAGCGATTGACAAATTGTGTAGAATCCAATGTGAATTTTATTTTTTTTTTGCAATCAAATGCTCATGCAATATTTAATGTATGCTGATCCTACTAATGCCTATAGTTGTCTCTATCTCACGATAGGTCAGATGACGATCTTGTACTATCAGTTTGGGCACAGCATCAATAGTTTCCGGCACAGCTGATTTTGGATGACCTTCACGAAATTCTTCTTGGAGTTATCAACGACCTCGATTGAATTCACCATACCATCGATAAACACTGGTTCTTGATGGAGCTTCATTGTCAAAAATTGAATAAAGTTCATCGATACACTGTTGCTGAGTTAGTCCACCTCGAAAGTTGTAAAAAATAGTCGCGCGAAAATTTTCGCGATTTAATTCCATTTTTTGGCGGACTTACCTCCCTATTTACTAATACTGATAAATTTTCATACGAATCCAACGAGTCGCAATTCAAAGTAGTATATTTTATGTACGAGTAGATTTATTATTGAACTGGTTCAGAAAACTTAATTAGAATTTCAGAAAATGTAAATATCCGTTCATATGTACATATGTGCATATGTATGTAGGGTTTGAAGCTTAATATGAACTTCAAAAGTAACATACAAAAGGTAGAAAAATGTGCCTAACGTAGATTACAGAATGTCAGAGCACTCTACCGTACACATATAACGAAAATATTTCATCGACACATACATACATATGGACACATTTTTCTTTAACATTCTCCATTATATAATACATTTTTATACATAAACATATAATACTTATTTGTATACACATACTTGTATAAACATTCGATGGAGTTAATAACACTTCATCTTCTCTAAGAATAAAAATGCAATGGCTGTAGATTAATTTTTCCTTATTTTAACGATTTTCTTCTGCATTTTGATAATTTTTATCCGTAATGTGAGCTGAATTATCAGATTTTCAGAAGAGAACACGCATATTTATTTAGAATTAAATGTGCCTTGTGTAATGTAAAAAATTTGTTATGTAAGTTATTCAATATTTTCAAACCTTATCCACATAATGGGAGGAGTAGGGTTACATAAAAAATACGACAATGACACAAAGTCGAATTGCGGTGCCACTCAGTGCTGGGTCATCTGAAGTCAAAAAATCAAAACTACATAATCGCTTTACCTAGATAACGCTAAGAGGGTTTCTTCAATTTTTTACTTTTTGGGAACGCTTTGAAGGAAAAAAGCGATTTTTATCAAAAAAAAAAACAAAAAGGTTAATTAATTTTAAAATAAAAAATATTCAAAAAAGCTCTACAGCGTAACCTCGTAAATTAAGGTGCAGTAGTTTTGAAGTTATGAGGGGTACCGATTTTGAAAGCATAAGTTGTGGTGAAGACGCTTTAAAGTTTTGAACACTAATAAATCTGATGTAAAACGTACGTCAGTTCGAAATAAAAATAGCCAAAACTTTGTCATTATGCTAGGATCGGATAGTTACAACATTCTAGAGATATCATGCAATCAGTCAGTTAACTGACTTTTTTCACAGAAGTTGATGATTTCCAACCAGACGGACGTCTCATGTTTCACATTTAAAAATGGACACATTGCGTGCAAAGTTTGGCGGCTCGTTAGTTTTGAGAAATGGCCGCCAAGATCATGAGATTTAACGCCTCTAGATTATTTTCTCTGGGAGTATATGAATTTAAATGGTTACGCCAATCAACCAGCAGCGCTCGAGAAGCTCGAAGATAACATTCAGCGCACCGAAATTCCAGCCGAAATGCTGCTCCGGGTCGAAAATATTGTAAAAATCGTAAACGAACCATTGACAGTCTGGTTACATTAATAATAATCGTAAAAACTTCCTTTTTTTTGTTCATGAAGTCAATAAGCTATGCATTTTTCACCCACTTTTCACATTTTTAAGTTTTAATAAGTTTTGAGACGAAGTTGTCGTATACCTCATTTCTGTCATTAGTTAAAAATATATCACAGACGACTGTTGGGTCATGAAAACATAAGTATCTTTATTTTGCAAAGTTTGCGGGAACAAGTTGAACAAAATATAAAACGATCAGTTTTGTAAAAAAAAAGGGTAGTCAAAAAAGCACGGAATATGTTATCTCTAATGACGAACACTTGAATTAATTTATTAAATTTTTATTTCAATTTACGAAATGATAGCAGAGATATGCAAAGGGCGTCAAATGTTAAATTTAACACTATATTCAACACTATAATTATAAACAATGTGTTGTACATACTCGTATATGCATGTCTAAGGTGATGTATTTCCGACAGCGTAAAAAGTGTAAATGTCAGCGACAATTCTGGCAACCAATTTGAAAAAAATAAAACCACTACTATAAGTCGCGACAATCCACAATCCCTCCAAATTCAAAAGCGATTAGCTTTAAATACCCTCCTAACTGTAATTAAGCAAGTGAGACACGTCGCAAGAATTTAGCGTGTGTGCGCTAATGAATTTAACAATTTCCTACGAGTATAATCGCTTCGAATGTTTATAAAAGTTGATTGTACATGTGTATGTATGTTACATACCTATGTATACTATATCTGTCTACTGCGCATGTTCCAAGTGTCAATTTTATTATGTAGGAAAGAATTTTTCAACAAGCGGAACGAAGACGCACACGCGCAAATAACATTAACTCAAATATTCTCATTCAATTAATGTTTTGTACTTGTATTTATGAGCTGTATGCTACGCAATTGCTCAGCAAATGCGCAGCAATTACATATGTGTATATAAACATACAAAACATATCCGTCATAGTGCCGTTTCACACAGGGATTCAAAAGAGTATCATACCAGTTTACTGTGGGCGATGGGACGACGAGGAAAGACGAAGGGACCGTGCCACTCGTGTTCGGGTGACACGCTTTGTGTTCTTGTTCGTAACAGCTCGCTGCTACCCTTTACAGCATTCCTTTTCACTTTCAAATTCTTTGAATGGTTGCAAGAGCGCTCGGTTTCAAATGAATTCGATCGCAAATTTGAGTTCTGTTATCTATTTTTGTATGTAATATGCAAATACGTATGCATAGAATAATAGAAATATTATGACAAATTGTAAATAAGGAGAAAATTAAGATATAGATTATGGAGTAAAGAAATTATGAATTTTTAATACGGAGTAAAGAAATTATGAGTTTTTAATACTTTAAAATTAGGAAATTCCTATTATAAATTTGGCCTTGAAAATATTAGTAGCGGATATTCAATACACTCTTGTGGATTAGGGAATTCCCGTCTTTAGTATTTCTTTGAAACTATTTAGCGGGTAGGTACTTGTATTATGCATATTGTTCTACCATATTCATGGTAATTCATTGCAAGCAAAATGTGTAACCATCATCTCAACATACAAATGAAATACGCAGCACGCAGTGTTGCGCATCGAACCGCACAAATATTTACGAAAATTTTGTGAAAAGGAATGCAGAAAAACTAGACTCGAGTTGCTGGACTCTTTTTGACCGTGTGAATGCCCAGAGCGACACCAAAAGAAAATTTGAAAAAACTCAGACTCTTTTGAATCCCTGTCTGAAACGGCACATAGCATCGCACATTTTAATTATTCTCGTTTGTTTTGATTCAGCTGGGGATGATTCCCTACGGGTGGATCGAGAGTGATCGCACCGGGCGCGGATTTCTCGAAGAAGCCGTATTTTCCAAAAAAGGACGTGAAGAGTGAACAATTAGAATGCTTTTGATAGGCAATTAATTCGAACATTTATTTAAATGTTGTGATTACCTATAAAGGAACGTTTTCTCGCTGTTGTAGATTGTCACGATAAAACCGGCAAAGCTATTGCCGCTTTAATTGGCAAAACATTGGAAAACTGCCATGGGCAGAGCTTGGTAGTAATATGTAGAAATGCAAAAACACATCCAACGTAAAAATAACGCTGAATTTGGTTGGAGTCGACTCGGCTGAATGCTGTCCTCGAGAATAACTTTTTTGGTGACATTCAAAAATGTCTCAATAGCAGCACACAACGTTGGGGAATTCTGAAATCCAAAGTACCCAATTTACTTCACTGTCTTTCTAATACAAGGTGGTCTGCCAGAATCGTGGCCGTCAAGCCATTTGCGAAACGTCTTCCCGGATTGGTAAACGCTTTGAAAGAAGTAAAAAAACTCAACCTTACGGAAGAAGCTCGTCGAGACGTTGATGGAATTTTGAAATATAATATATGAGCAAATTTGAGTGCGTTTTGATGGCCTCCATGTGGTTTAAAATCCTTCGGTCAATCAATGAAAGAAACTTGGTAAGCTGAAGGCATAAATATAGAAATCCTTCTTGTGGACTTGCAATTTATGCGCGACGAGTGAAAAGTAATTTATAATTCGTGCAAAATTGTTGTAGAGAATTTAGAGCATGTCGAGACGATCAGCAAGAAAAAAAACACGAATACGACCTACATGAAGAAGTGGATAAAAATTACAGTAAAGAGGAAATTGAATTCAAAAGAAACACTTTCTACGTCATACTTGACAGCGTTATCGGTGGGATAAAAAAAAGATTCGACGGAGTGAGTGACATAAAAGAATAGTTCTAATTTCTAAGGCAGTTCCATGGTATGCAAAAAAAACTTCACGCAGCTGCAAAAAATTTGGCAAAAAAAGTATTCCGTTCAAATAATTGAAGATTTGAGGATTTTAAACTGCATGTTCAAAAACTTAATCACAATAGTGAACAGATTTCTAAAGAGCTGTTTTTTATTCATTAAATCGATAAATAAATGTTTGAATGAGATTTTTTTGTCTTCTTATTTACTGTCAAGTCTTGCTATCCCAATATTCAAATATTCCGGTATAATCTGAAAGAATATTTTTGACTGAAAGTCTATGTATGAAGAACTAATTTATACATTATTGATTTTCAAAATCGTACAAAACAAATTTGTTCCACCCAACATCAACAAGAAATAAAATTTAATACAGATGTGATGAGAGAATAAAATACTACGTATTTGACTTATTCTTAAAAAAATTGAAGTACTAAGTGGAAGATAGTTAATAAAGTACTCGAATATAAGTATTTAGCCCTGGGCCCGTTTTCTCTCGGCGGGACTGCATATAAAGCTGTTGTTAGCTAATTTGAAACGATACTTATTTTACAATTGATGATCTTCTTTCACTAAAACGCGTATTTTCAACAAGTAAGGAAAGGCTAAGTTCGGGTGTAACCAATCGAACATTTTATACTCTTGCAACTTGCAAGGATCAAAGCCGGAAAAATACCTTCAGGTGTTGGCAATATAAAAAAAATTTAGCGAAAGGGTTCCATTTCATTGTACAACGAAATCGTGAATGGATTACAATCAACTTATTAACTTACATTCATTAAGGTACCTCACATACAATCACCAATATATTGTATAATAAAGTCAACTAGATGTTTGAAATTTTTGATATTAGTTAAGTAAATGGGGCTAGGGCAAGTTTTCACTTAATTTTATTAATTTTAAGCACAAAGACACACTGTAATTAGAAAAACACGCCCTCTCAATTTTATTTAAAAAAACTCCCATGCCGATATATATGGTATAAAGTTAACTGGAAATTCGAAAATCTTTATATTAAGTGTAAGGGGGCTGAGAGAAGTATTCACCCGATCAACCCATTTTTGGCATTAGGGTATATTGTTATCAAAGAATCATTTTCCCCGAATTTCAAGAATGTATCTCACATACAAGTATTGACCGATACTTTCGCCAAAATGTCAGCCATACGCACTCGGGTCCACATATCGGTATGTGTGGGCTTGAACAGTTATAATCCGATTTTTTAATCCGAGAACACACCTCAAAGGCAGTATTTGTGCAATGTTTTATCCGAATATATTGACTAGTTCAATATATATATATATAGATCAATTACATTCTAATTAAAAGCTAAACCATTTTCATAATTTTTAAGAAAACTTGTGCATTTAGATTCATTAAAATATCACACATTTTGACCAATCTAAACGATTAAAAGACAAATGGAAAGACGGAAATCATTTTATGGAGTATATTAGGGATAGAGAAAAGGAGGGGCTGATTGCAATAAATTTAACATTGCTCAGGTATACTCGAAAACATATTTTGAAGCAATTTTATATATAAATAATACTCATTGACAGACATATTCGGCGTAAAACTTGTTAGAATAACAAAAATCATTATAAGTAGTATATGGGAGTTGGGGGTAGTATTGACCCGATTTTATCAATTTTTGCCAATACGACATACTATTAAAATGCCACAGACTTTTTTTCAAACAAAAATCACACTGTTTTTTAAGGAGATTCAAATGGTTTTTTTCTTTGATGTGAAGTACAATCGATATAATTAAGTGTTGAATACATCATTCAAATGTCCTCCGCGACTTCTTTTGCAGGAACGAATATGATGAACCTAATTTTCGAGTAGTTTCTCCACTAAACCAAGTCGTATACCATGAATAGCACGTTTAGTATTGATTTTAAAAGCTTGAAGAGAGTCTGGTTTATTGCTAAAGACCATTGACTTCATATAACCCCACAAAAAGTAGTATAATGGTGTTAAATCAAAACTTTTTGGAGATCATTCAAAGTCACAATTTCTTGAAATTATCAAATCTCCAAACTTTTATCGCAATAATTCGGTTGTTTTGTTGACTCAGCCATAAAAATTGGTTATCATCGAACTATACCGCTCTCCATTGACAGTAACGGTGTCACCAGCTTCATTTCGAAAGAAGTACGAACCCATGATTTCATCAGACCAAAATCGACCACACCAGACTGTCAATTTAGGTGAATGTAATAGTTGTTCATGAATAATTTGTGGATTTTCTTAGCATCAGAATTTACAGTTTTGTTTATTTACCGCACGATTATTACGACCAAAAAATGGCAAAAGCGCTCTGTAACATAGGAATGTCAAAGAAATGTTATATACCGAATTCGATTGAAATCGGTCCAGTTGGTCCCGACATATGCGATTTCACTGGGGCGGTGCCGGGCCCATCGTCCAATTTTGACCGTGGCTCCTACAAAATCCTCTCATAGGGATAAAATTTAATGTCTCTAACGTATTTAGTCATTAATTTATCGCGCTTTAAATAGTTTTTAACAGTACCGTTATAAGGGGAGTGGGCGAACCTACCATCAAATTTTATCAATTTTTTCAGTGTCGATAGGGATGCTTAAATTATTTATCCTGAGCGAATTTTGTTATTGTTGCTTGAACAGTTGAGAGACAACGATAGCAACAGTTTTAAAATTATTATTAAGCTTCAAGGAATCAAAGACGGCTTTTCAAATGCTGTGGAGGACAGTTGGTGCCTTTTCCGAATACAAACATTTTAATTGATTTTAAACAATATTTTAAATGATTTTAAACAATAAAATTACAAAATTTAGTCATTAAGAGTAACAAAAGCAAGGCA